CAAATGTGAAGCTTTTCGTCCATCGACGATGAACCTCTTCAGACAATATATGGAAACAATGTGGATATCTTTCATCACATATATAATTCTAATAAAATTTTACAAAACAATCATCATATAAAAAATCCGTTTTTTGCATCCAAAACGTTGAGATCTTTGAAAGGGTCATATTGGCGGGTATTTTGTCCCTTTAAGGTTCTGAACAGGGAACAACACGTGCCTTGATATGACAGATATATATATATATTGTAACGCTTTTTTCTACACTACTATTATAAGGGAATTAAATATGGAACATTAATAATAAACAATCATTTACAAATCCAAAATAGTTCTGAAACTATAATTTTAAAGTTACTGTAGCTGAATTCTAAGACAATTTTACATACTTAAAACCTGATTTTAACCGAACTTCAATATTTAACCAAAGAAAACGTTACTTGTGCAATCTAGTTCTTTATAATTTGTCTAGGCGGTCCCCGATAGGGCGCCAGACAATTTTTGTATCGCCGGTATTGTCAACCGGACTAAAACATAATTAACCAAAAATCATTAAATCAAACATTACTCAATACTTAATTAAGACCGACTAAACAAACATTAATATTAACTAGATTTTTCGCACGTGCCGGTACTAGTCAGCTATGCTGGTCGTGGAGAGAGGGGTGAGTTTTGTATTCAAGAAAGAGAAGGTAGTTTAAAACACAGTGACGGAATTATAAATAAATTAACAATCGATTAGATAAAAATAATTAAGTATATTGTACCAACGAAATTCAATTGACAAGTTACAATAAATAGTGATGATCATTTTGTCGTTTATAATTAATAATTAAAATAATAAAAAACCATAAGCAGAATTACTTGAGTATTCTGGATTACAACAAAGAACCATAAATAATATAAATAACTTACAGATTTTGTATCGATGATAAGTTGACTCGTGATAGGGATCATGATTTCATTTTACACTTTTAATTTACTATTTATTAAAGAAAACATTAAACTAATAATTAATTGGAATATTAAACTCACTGTAACATATTATTTAACAATTCGAAACCATAAAAGAATTAAACTGTAACTAACTAGAACTGATTCTAAATCCGCTACATTTTTACTAAAAACCGGAGAAATTAACTAACGATGTTAACACAACAAGGGGTCGATGACAAGAGAGAGATTCAACAGGTTTTGCAGAATTATTTTTAATTTGAAATTAGTACTGAATTTTGGCGTTAGGAGACTTATCGGTATTCTCGCTATTTTCTTACAAAAGGGGGTTTTCTCCTACCTTGCTTCTCCCAGAATTCTGAATTACTAATACTATGATACTTAAACTAAAACGACTTTTCCTATGGCAAGATTGCGACCTTCTTGACCATAGGAACCTGTCAATTAACCCAAAAGGAGAGCTTCTTTGCCAAACGAAGTCGCTTTCGTTTGACAAAGCCTGCCAACTCACTAAAACTAAACTAATTTATCAAAATTCCTTAATGTGGAGCGCCAATGTTTCAATTGGACTTGTGCTAAGTGTAGAATAATTACTTAAACAAATACTAAAACAGACACTGTAACAAATTTACTTTAACAAAGACAGTTAATATTACCAAAATTCAAATACTAGAAAAAATGTTCTCAGATTAGTGCTTTTGTGACGTAAATCGTAAAAATAACGTCACAACTCGCCTCTCAACGGAAAGATTGTGGAAGGGGAAAATGTACGTGAATGAATATCCTCTAAAATCGGGACACCAACTATTCTGAACTCTAAACTGTTATTGGCATAACAAGAAATATAAACGAAACTCTATTACGATAAAACTAAATTTCACAAGGTGCACTCCCGATACCGAGCTAACGCTCTGGAGGTTCGAAAGAAAGGGACTACTCTCAATTGACTACTAGGGTTCAAATAGCAATGAAAATTGGGGATTGGAAGTATCGGTTCAGATAAGACCACACAACTTTTAAATTCAACACCAAGTACTTTTTATCTCAGAGACTGAAATCTAATGGTACAAATAGTATGATAGCAATGGATGTTGTATTAACAATGGTCATAGGGACACTGGGCCGGATTATTAGTGAAGTAAGGGACAATAATATATTGAAAGTTATAGTGAATTAAGTGAATTAGGTGAAGTGGTGAAAATTATCTTATTTTAATATGAAGTTGGGGCTTAAAGTAGGTACGTCCAGAGGCAACAGAATCCAAGTCTGCGGAACAGAAAATTATGAAAATGGAGGCGTTGCTTCAGATTGAGAAGGAAAATTCTTAAATTTGTTTAAGATGAGGGTAGTGAAAATTATGAAGAAAAAAAATTACGAAAGTAAATTGCGTCCAGAAATGTTGCAACGATTTACTTTTAAATTAACACACTTGTACTGTAACGCAAGTGAAACGAAAATAAATTGTTTTCAGAAGTGTTGCAAAGATTTACTTTCAAATTAACTCACTTGTACTGTAACGCGTCGTTCCGACGCCTTGTCGCCAAATTTTCAAAAAAATATGATAATAATAATAATAATTGTGTTAATCACAAAAGAGAAAGTTACCGTAGAAATCATGGGATTCTATCACGAGTCATTACAATGTAACAATATGGATTTAACTCAAGTTACAATTCTCTGAGTCAGGAAAAAATTTTGTAACACAGGGGTGTTCTCCCCCCCGTCAAAATTAAATAACATAGTGAATGTACGGTGAATATGAAATAGAGTGAGAAATGAGTAAAATAATTCAAGTGAATTATAAGTGAAAAATTAGTGAAAAATTCAAGTGAATTTTAAGTGGACAATTAATAAACAATTCGAGTGAATTATGAGTGAAAAAAAAAATTCGAGTGAATTATGAGTGAAAAAATTCAAGTGAATTGTAGGTGAAAAATGAATGAAAAATTCAAGTGAATTTTATGTGGACAATTAATAAACAATTCGAGTGAATTATGAGTGAAAAAATTCAAGTAAATTGTAAGTGACATTAAGTGAATAATACGTGAATTATCATGAGTGAATATAAATTAGTTAAAGTGGGTGAACAATGAGTGAGAATGAGTGAAAAATGAGTGAATTATAAGTGAACAATTCAGTGGAGAATAAGTGAAATTAAGTGACTAATTAGTGAATTATGTGAATTGTTCGAGTGAAAATGAGTGAATTATAGTGAACATACGTGAATTAAGTGAATAATTCAGGTGAAAAATAAGTGAAAAATGAGTGAATTATTATTAAATGAAAATTGGTGAGTAATATTCTTATTTTATGAAACCTGGACCATTCCTTATCGGTGTCGCCGGTATGGGTGGTGTTGGTCCCTGGGAATGTTCCTTCCGTATTTCGGAACATACGGTCCCATTGACGCCCATTTTTCTGCGTCTTTTGGACACGTCTTGGCCGTGTATCCCTGTCGGCCACACATTTGGCAAAAAATGGTCCGTTTAAAAGGGCAGGTGCCGTAGCGGTGGCCTCCTCGGTGGCAATTCCAGCACAGTTTCTGTGGACCTGGGGCCGGTGCTTGGTCTGGGACTGGAACTGGGCCTCGTTCTCGGCTTGGAGCAGGAACTGGTTCCGGACTTCGTTCTCGGGATGGGCCTGGAACTGGTGCTGCTTCCCGTGATGGGCCTGGAACTGGTGCTGGTGCTCGTTCTGGGCCTGTTACGGGTTCACCTTTGGCGTTCAGGAAGCAGGTGGGCTCATTCGGAAAACTGCGCCTGGCTGCTCCTGGCTTCCTCCAGTATTTGCGCCTCCTGGGTCGAATATACCTTTCCGATTGGTGACTTGAGGAGTCATTTTCGGTCCACCAATCGGGCTTTTCAGTGGGTTGCCTGGGCCTTTTAAAGGGATCAAACGGGCCCTCTTCCGAGTCCGAGGAAACCTCGTCCAGATCCATCCTTGCTTGGGAGGGTCCGGCAATAGGTTCCATCTGTCTAGGTGGTTCGAGCCCCGTCGTCTGTGTCCCACTTTCCTTCATAATGGGCCCCGATTGGTTGGCTTGGTCCATCGTTGACGGTCGAGCTAGCGGCCAATCCTGGACTTCGCTCGGTAGGGCAGTTCTCCCTGCCAGATTCGTCCTCCATCGGATAGGGCACTCCCTGTTGTCCTGGTGACTGCACCGCAACACCATTTCTTGTAGCGACTGGAACAATCCTGGTCTGTACTGTTCCAGCCATGCCAGGGCAGGTAAGAATGGCCGAATTGGATCCCAGAACGGATCTTCTTCCAATCTCACTTCTACCTCCTGTGGTGGTCCTGGGATGCCATCTGGTCCGTCGACGTCGGGTTCCGGTGGATTCCATTGTGGTGGGGTTGGAACTCGAGGGACTTCCTCATGGTCGTTTTCGGGTGCGGCGATCTGAGGCTCCTCCTCCATTGGCCAGTCACCGTTTTCCCCATCCTCTTCCCCTAAATTCCCATTATTTCCCGGTTCTCCCTCGTCTTCCAGGTCCCTCATCTCTATGATCTCGATACTCGAGGAGCTAGAGGAGCTTGGTGAGTCCGGTGGGTGTTCCCCGTCATCCACATTCAACAAATAGTCGTCGAGACTACCCACCGTGATGTCGCTGTCCCCGGAGTCAGAGATCTGAAGAATCTCCATCTCGTCTATCTGGCACGTGGAGTCAGGTGGGGGGTACTCCATTATGAGTCTGTAACGTTCTTTTATTGTAATATTCGAATAAAGTCTTATGATCCACCACCTGGACGGTAACAAGACGATTTTACTGTAACGTTTATTGAAAAACTGTAACTTTATTGAAAATACTGGAACACTAGATTATACTGTAACTTATTCTGGACATGAATGTTATACCAAAATACCACATTTGGAATTGGTGTACAGGAACACAAGAAACACAAATATAGACAAATACAAAGACAAACGTTGAAACTCGATGTTGAACATACTGAGTCGTGAGGAATACTGTAACGTTAATTATGTAAGACATTTTAAATTCTGTAACGATTTTTGTTAAGTACTGTAACTAATTTATTACTTTAGGTTAATCTGGATTATCTTGGAGTGGTGCATGGTAAGGTTTTAGGTCTTGTACCGAAAACTTTCCCATCGATTGCCCTTGTAGGTCCTCTAGAACATAAACTACATTTGATATTCGTTTGGTGACAATAAAGGGACCGTGAAATGCATCTGCTAGTTTCGCCATGAAGTGTCTATCTGCGGACGATAGCACGCGTTGCTTTTTCCATACTAAATCACCGACTTCGTATCGTTGGTCGCGTCGTTTGCGGTTATAATAGAGAGATTGTTTTTGGAAGGCACTGTCTAGAGCGTGAACAATACTACTTCGTAATTCGTTAAGCTGTTGCATTCTTTTAGACCAAGTTAGTGGGGGTTGGTGGACAATGTCCATCTCTCTTTCTAATTCTCGGCGTAGGGATATCGCGGCTGATGGTTCACGCCCGAAATTAAGAAACGCTGGGGTACTTTGGATTGAGGAATGGTACGCTGTGTTGTGTGCAAAACGAAATTCTGGGAGGTGTAAGTCCCATTCACGGTGACTTCTTTCTATAAATGCGATTATCATGGTGCGTACTACTCGATTTACTCGTTCGACAGGGTCGGCCTGAGGTCGATAAGGTGGAGTGGTCATGTGTCGAAATCCTATTTTAGTCGCTAAAGCTTTCATGTTATTATTTACAAATTCGGTACCGTTATCCGTAAGTAAAACTTTAGGTGACCCCCAACGATTAATAACTAAGTCCTGTAACGCTGCTGATATTGTTAGACCTGTAGCTTTTCTTAAAGGCTGTATCTCTATCCATTTGGTGTAAAGGTCTTGAATGACCAAAATGTACACGTTACCTCTGGAACTAGGGGTCAAAGGTCCCATTATATCTGTAGCTACCACTGTCCAGGGTTCTTCAACAGTTTTTTTTTCCCATAAAACCAACAGGTCGGATTTGCTCGACCTTGGTGCGTTGACAAGTTTCACAGTGTCTGACAAAAGAAACAACATCCTTGAACATGCATGGCCAATAGTATTGAGTGGCGATTCTGCGATGTGTCTTCTCTACACCATAGTGTCCTGATTGTGGAGTTGAGTGGCTTTCTTGTAGAGCTTGTAGGCGACGTTCCCTGTTGAGCACTAACTTCCAAGCATTTAGATCTGTAACTTCAGTTTCTGGAAAATTGGCTGGTTTGTGGTAATAGAGCCGATCGTCTTCGATTTTCCAATTTGGAAACTTATCCGGATGTAGTTCGACTTCTTGTAGGCGCTTTAGGTACCATCGGTCTTCTGTCACTTCGATCTGGTTGACTTGATCTGGAGTATGTTCAGGTATGCGTGATAGAGCGTCTGGGACGTGATGGAGTGCTCCTTTTCTGTGGATAATTGTCAGGTCGTATTCTAGGAGTTCAAGAGCCCATCTAGCGAGTCGACCAGTTGGATTTTTAAGGTTGTGTAACCAACGTAAACTGCTATGGTCCGTTATCACTGTAAATGAGTATCCTTCTAGGTAACAGCGGAACTTTTTAACAGCCCAAACCACTGCAAGACATTCTAATTCTGTGACTGTGTAGTTTTTTTCGGCACTTGAAAGTGCGCGACTAGCATACGCAATCACACGTTCTTGTTCTTCTATAATTTGGGTCAGCACTGCTCCTAGTCCGACAGAACTTGCATCTGTCTGTAAGGTGAATGGTAACTTGAAGTTTGGACATGCCAATGTCGGAGTACTTGTTAACAATAATTTCAGTGTGTTAAAAGCACTCTCTTGTTCTTCCTTCCATTCCCATGGTTGATTTTTCCTCACTAGTTTGTAGAGTGGAGCAGCTTTTGTTGCATATTCAGGAATGAACCTTCTGTACCAAGATGCCATTCCAAGGAAACGGTGTAGTTGTTTCACTGTTCGTGGTTGTGGGTATTCCAGGACCGCCGAAGTTTTCTCAGGGTCTGTTTGTAATCCTTCGTAATTGACTCGGAATCCAAGATATCGTAATTCAGCACAGCAGAAATGACTCTTGTTTCTGTTGATTACCATGTTGGCCTTTTTGATGTTTGCAAGGACCTTGTCAAGCCAATGCAAATGCTCCTCGAAAGTCTCCGTTACGACTACGATGTCATCCAAATAACAAAACACGTGAGGGAACAATGCTGGACCAATAACGCGATCCATGAGCCTCTGGAATGTGGCTGGTGCGTTGCTCAGACCGAAGGACATCCTCTTGAATTGGAATAAACCTCTTCCTGGTACGATGAATGCAGTTATTGGTTTTGCTCTCTCTGTTAATGGAACGTGCAGGTAGGCTGATGTCAAATCCAAGGTTGTGATGAAGTTACATTGCTTTAGCTGATCCAGGATTCCGATCATGTTTGGAATTGGATATGCATCCTTTTTTGTGCAAGAGTTTACTTTGCGATAGTCTATGCAGGGTCGCCATTTTCCATCTGCCTTTTTTGTCAACACTGGAGGGCTTGCCCAATCTGCTTGCGAAGGTTCTATGATATCTTGTCTGAGCCATTCATCCGTTTCTTTCCACAATGCCTCGAGTTTTATTGGTGTCATCGCATAAGCCTTTTGTCGAATTGGTGGATGGTCTCCGACATCTATATCATGCACGGCAAGTGGTGTAATTGGTAATTTATCCGGTGGTGGTGATATCCTTTCATCAAGGAATTTTTTCAAGATTTCGGATTGTTCATCACTTAATATCTGTAACCCATTGCAAACTGTAACACGATCTGTAGAGCTTTCTGGAGTGAATGTGAATGTTGAATTCGGATCATCTCGAAAATACCAGCTTTTTGCAGCAAAATCAACTATTAAACCGGCTTGTATAAGAAAATCTAACCCTAGTATGCACTGATGTGATAGGACTGGCATTATTAAAAGATTAACTTGAAAATTTCGGTTTTTCAATTGTATTTCGGTGTCGATTGCATATTCGATACGGAGGTTATTACCATTCGCGACTGTAACTCTACGAGCAGGAATTGGTTTCGCGGTTAATCCCATATTTTTTATTAATTCAATCCCTGTTTGACCAAGGAATGATTTACTAGCCCCAGAATCAAGTAGGGCCCTAATCTCACGTCCTGCAAGGGTGAAGTCAACACAGAATGCTACTTGTCTTTTGTTTGAGACCGAATTTGCAAAATCGATTATTTCTACATTATTCTGTAACTTTAAACACTGGTCTGGAAATAGGCTTCCCATATTCTGTAGCTTTTTAGTTTCGGTAACATCTAATTCTAACTGTAACTGATCTTCCGACGTTATTTCTGGAAGCGATACACTTGTCGGGATAGTGTTCACTGTTGAGAGTTTCCCTTATTACAATGGGGACAATCTCGTTTAGTAACACCTGAGGCTCGACAGCGGTAACAAAATCTACGTTTAGGTGCTGGACATAATCTGTGGCCGTGACCAATTTTGTCACAATTCCAACATCTAAACTCAGTGTCACTTGTTTCATTCCTATTAGTATTCACCGCGGGTGACGCTTGATTCACTAAATTGGATGTTTTAGATTCACTAAATTTATCTTTGATACCGGATCTTGTTGTAGGTAACTTAGAATGATCACTTGTTTGTTGTTGATTATGTCGTTGTAATAACAAGGAGTCTAATATGTCACTGTAACCTTCGGCATTGTTCTGTAACGGTACGCTATGATCAACTGCCGCATGTAATTGATCAGTTTTCGAAAAGTGTTGTAGTGGTCGGGGTGGTTGGTAGTGTGCCTTCCGAGGCCCTGAGTACGCATACGCTGGACACATAGAGTTTTCTGGTAGTGGTGGGGGGCGATATTGGTTTACACTTTGAAGTGTTCTTTCTTGGCGTGACGCGTACGCTTCTAAATCGTCCATAGTAAGGTTTCTGTGCAATGGGATCACTAATTTGAATGCCGGTAACATATTTCTGTGAGCATAGCGGATGCATTCCCATTCTGACCATAATGGGTCTGTTCGGGCGAAAAGACCATTCATACATGCAAGATAATCACAAACTGGTTCGTTGTTTGCCTGCGTACGATTAGCAATTTCTTCACGCAAGGCTAATTGATAATCTGGATCTGCATATCTGGAGCGAAGAGCAATCTTAACGTCTTGCCATGTTCTAAAAGAATTGACGCGACCTCTGTACCATGTTAACGCTGCATCTTTTAACGTAAAAGGAATGGCTTTTAATAAATCTGATTCACGCATAACCAATAATTCACGACCCTCATCGATTCGATTTATATAATTCTCGACGTCTTCACCACGCGCACCACTGAATTGTAAATTCCAGCGATGTATTGTCTGTAACAGTGATTGTGGACTCATAGGTTGTTGATAGTTTGGTCTTCTTTCCGTGTTCCCATAATCGTCAAGTTGGTAGTCTTGGGGGTTTGGAAAGACTCGATGCCTATTAAAGTTACGTGATTCCCTAAAATTGTTGGAACGAGAGTAACGACCACGAGTGGTATTGACGTTATCAAAATTAAATTCCGCATTCGGACCAAGCTGAATGTTGGGTTCCCGTAACACTTGATTTTGACGCATTTGATCACCATCATTTCTCATATTATCATCATCGTGACCAAAATATAGGTCGTGTAGTAATGGTTGTAGTTGTGATGGTTCGGAGGTGTCTGATTTTATAGAGTGTCGGTCGTCCATTTTCTTTTTACTTTTTACTAAATTTCTGTAACTATATTTTTTCTTTGAAAATTATTTAAAAATCTAATTTCTGTAACTGTTTCTTTCGTGAAAATATCGAAAATTCAATATCTGTAACTATTTTACACAAAATTGTGCAGAGATGTAAATTTTGCAACTGATTTTTGTTCCTCAAAATAATTTTAGATTAATTTTGTAATTAATTTTGTTCCTCAAAATATTTTGAAATTAATTTTCGTGATTACTTTTCACGAACTACTTGGAACTCAAAGTTTTATATTTAATCTCACTTTACAAAATATTTTTAATCCAATTTGTGTAATTGATTTTCACGAAATGCTCAAAAATCAAAATTTTATAATTGATTTTACTTTATAAATTCAACTTCTGTAACCAATTTTCTCGAGATACTCGAAAATCGAAATTTTGCAATTAATTTCACTTTATAAATTCGATTCCTGTAACTAATTTTCTCGAGATGCTTGAAAATCGAAATTTTTATAATCAATTTCACTTTATAAATTCGATTCCTGTAACTAATTTTCTCGAGATGCTTGAAAATCGAAATTTTTATAATCAATTTCACTTTATAAATTCGATTTCTGTAGCTATTTCTCGCGAAATATTCGAAATTTTGATTTCTGTAACTTTCTATACCAAGGTACTGTATGAATAAAAGTAAGATAATACACTTCAATGGGTTAGACGGAGAAAGATATAGTGCATATGCACTGGTCTTGGCTGCTTGAGAGTACGAACGATCGCACAAAGCAGAGACTCGATAGGACGGAGAACGCACTATAGGAGTGAGCGAGAGCAAGTATATCACTGGCGCGAAAGGAACAGAGGGGAAGCACGTTTCTGTACTCGCACGCTTTACACACTACTACTAACCCGACACCATGAGTAACACTCACGCATACCAAATAGACGCCGGTAGGATGCTAACACATGGCGAGAAAAGGAAAATTTATACACAAAATTTTTCCTTTACACTGAATCGAATTGATTTTGTAGTTACTTACTCGGTGGATGACACGACAGGAACTATCCACACGGGGTTGAGGTGTGAGTGGATGGCACAATGCACCACACACAAGAGTTCTGGCTTTATAACCAACTCAAAAAGAAAACTGTAACTATTAAACAAAAGATCCAAAAAAACTAATTCTTAACAAAAACTGTAACTCTTAATAAGAACTATAACTGTTAACTGAGAAAACTCAACAAAACGCTTTATGAGTAACACTCAATTAATTGTTAAGGAACAACTAAAGTTGCAAAAATATTTCGGGGAAAACTGTATGGTTTGCGAAAAACGCGACCGATTATGTCAGAATCCAGGAAACTAATGAGCATGGCGTCGACCACTTGTTGGGGACATGGTCTTCCCTCGGGTGAGGGGGGTGTCCCCACTTGCGAATTTCCCCCAAAATTTTCAATTTTCGGAGGTAGGGCAAGTCATGTGATCACTCAGTTTTTTCTATATTCGCCCTTACAGAGGACAAATTTAAATTAAAAATAAGAGATAATAATAACTTCGTAAATAAGCAGTTAATTAATTTCGTCGATTTGAAAGAGATAAAATATAATTAACAACAGAAGCTTACAAACTTGGTTCATTATTATTGACTTTCAATAATTATAAGCCAAGTAAAGGTGACTGTAACAATGGCTAAAATACTAAAATTCAAAAAATAAACAATTTTCCGAAACAAATCATCGAGACAAAATGAAATTGGACAATGAAGAATGTATAATACTTTACGTAAATTTGTTGTCAACAACAAAATAATCATCATTTCTTTCGAAATAAAATTTCCTAATTAAAAATTCTTTCAAAAAAGAAAACAGAGATTAAAGACCTTGAATTCTTCAAATTTTAATTTTCCGTTATGAAAATAATATTAATCAATTATAATATTCTCTTCATCTTTTTTTTTTTTTGTAAATAAAAAAAATATGAGATTTATACATGAAAATAGATAAATTGGCCGATTCTTATGATAGTACATTTAAAAATTGAATCAGTTACTTTACCTATTTTAATTATCTGTAACACACTTTAACAACATGACTAAAAAATAAATTTCTTTTTTTTTTTCTAAAAATTTTCTTTTCTCTATTACTCACTGAACTACCTTCTCAAAAATATTGACTTGTGCGCCCCACGTTGGGCGCCAAATTGTAACGCTTTTTTCTACACTACTATTATAAGGGAATTAAATATGGAACATTAATAATAAACAATCATTTACAAATCCAAAATAGTTCTGAAACTATAATTTTAAAGTTACTGTAGCTGAATTCTAAGACAATTTTACATACTTAAAACCTGATTTTAACCGAACTTCAATATTTAACCAAAGAAAACGTTACTTGTGCAATCTAGTTCTTTATAATTTGTCTAGGCGGTCCCCGATAGGGCGCCAGACAATTTTTGTATCGCCGGTATTGTCAACCGGACTAAAACATAATTAACCAAAAATCATTAAATCAAACATTACTCAATACTTAATTAAGACCGACTAAACAAACATTAATATTAACTAGATTTTTCGCACGTGCCGGTACTAGTCAGCTATGCTGGTCGTGGAGAGAGGGGTGAGTTTTGTATTCAAGAAAGAGAAGGTAGTTTAAAACACAGTGACGGAATTATAAATAAATTAACAATCGATTAGATAAAAATAATTAAGTATATTGTACCAACGAAATTCAATTGACAAGTTACAATAAATAGTGATGATCATTTTGTCGTTTATAATTAATAATTAAAATAATAAAAAACCATAAGCAGAATTACTTGAGTATTCTGGATTACAACAAAGAACCATAAATAATATAAATAACTTACAGATTTTGTATCGATGATAAGTTGACTCGTGATAGGGATCATGATTTCATTTTACACTTTTAATTTACTATTTATTAAAGAAAACATTAAACTAATAATTAATTGGAATATTAAACTCACTGTAACATATTATTTAACAATTCGAAACCATAAAAGAATTAAACTGTAACTAACTAGAACTGATTCTAAATCCGCTACATTTTTACTAAAAACCGGAGAAATTAACTAACGATGTTAACACAACAAGGGGTCGATGACAAGAGAGAGATTCAACAGGTTTTGCAGAATTATTTTTAATTTGAAATTAGTACTGAATTTTGGCGTTAGGAGACTTATCGGTATTCTCGCTATTTTCTTACAAAAGGGGGTTTTCTCCTACCTTGCTTCTCCCAGAATTCTGAATTACTAATACTATGATACTTAAACTAAAACGACTTTTCCTATGGCAAGATTGCGACCTTCTTGACCATAGGAACCTGTCAATTAACCCAAAAGGAGAGCTTCTTTGCCAAACGAAGTCGCTTTCGTTTGACAAAGCCTGCCAACTCACTAAAACTAAACTAATTTATCAAAATTCCTTAATGTGGAGCGCCAATGTTTCAATTGGACTTGTGCTAAGTGTAGAATAATTACTTAAACAAATACTAAAACAGACACTGTAACAAATTTACTTTAACAAAGACAGTTAATATTACCAAAATTCAAATACTAGAAAAAATGTTCTCAGATTAGTGCTTTTGTGACGTAAATCGTAAAAATAACGTCACAATATATATATTGTCTGAAGAGGTCCATCGTCGATGGACGAAAAGCTTCACATTTGACATAAATAATCGTTTGAATAAATGTGGATTGATTTTTTAAAAAACAAATAACATCTTTTACAAAATTTTATCTACTTTCGAAAAAAATAAAAATAAAATCATTAAACTTATACAGTAAAATTGTTTTATATCAATAAATAAAATATATTATAATACATTTTTTATTTGTTTGAACAAATTATTGTTGTTATTTACCAACTTTTTCCAGAATGCACCTAGAAAGTTGCAGTTTTTTCCTAACTTTGCAATTTACTAAATCTTATATAATTACAGATAAAGAATAAAAGTTGAATAAAAATTGAACTATTGTTTAAACAATTTTTAAACAAATTATTGATAGGAAAAAACTGTAACTTTCTAGGTGCATTCTGGAAAAAGTTGGTAAATAACAACAATAATTTGTTTAAAAATTGTTTAAAAAATAGTTCAAATTTTATTCAATTTCTATTCTTTATCTGTAATCATATAAGATTTAGTAAATTGCAAAATTAGGAAAAAACTGCAACTTTCTAGGTGTATTCTGGAAAAAGTTGGTAAATAATAACAATAATTTGTTTAAATAATTTTTTAATACTAAAACATAAATGTTTAATGTCATAAATGTCATAAAACATTATTAAAATACAGTATTTGTATTAGCACATAATTATATACAAAACGTTTGATGAATTTTAATCGTTTTGGGAACATAAAAGTAAAATAGCGTTTAACCACCCCGGGTGGCCGTCCGGTATTCCGCGTATACAAAAATCTTTGGTAGCGCGAAGGTTAAGCAACAAGGGTATAAAGGCAGCCATTTGTTTACGATGATTTTTGTGACACAAGTGAAGGTCTCGGGGCGCCGTAGGCACTCTCGACATTCACTCCTATGTTACTTACGATATTTTTTATTACAAATGCACAAAAGTGTCGATTTCAGATAGCAGACGACAGGGAGTAAAAGTCATTCACTTGTTTGACTTCTATAGAAATGGCGGCCGTTTTCTCCCATGGGCAAAAATAACGCATGGAAAACAGCTGATTTTCTTGCCCATGTGAGAACACGGCCGCCATTTTTATACGGTCGAAGAAATTAATGACTTTCCTCCCTGTCGTCTGCTATCAGAAAGCGACATTTTTGTGCATGTGGGATAACGATGAAATTTTTGACGTAATCCATAATGCACACGTAAATGTTGGTCATGGTGGGTGAATTAAAACATTAAAAGAATCAAATAAAAAATACACTAACGTCACTATCGAAATGATAATGTTGTATTTAAGTTTATGCGAAAAGCGTGTCTAAAAAATCAAAAAACAAAAAAAGAGATTTAGTTGTAAAACCTCTACTTACAGCGGAATTTAATTCAAGATGTCAAGTTGACCTAATTGACCTTTAAACACAAGCAGACGGCGAATATAAATTT